TTAAGGTTGAGGGTTTAGGGTTTCCTGGTTTACCAATCCAATGATTACTACCACCACTGTGTGCTGTTGTTAAAACTATGCAGTTCCTTCTATCCTTGCTACTGCGTCTCTTGACAGTCTTCTTCTTGTGAGTGAACACTATTGCAGTTCTTGCTGTCGATATGGTTCTGTCTGGGTCTGGCTAGCCGAATTACAATGCTTGTTTCCGTTAGTAGCACGATTACTGCTACTGTACATGAGTGCTGCCCCGGCTGTTCGAATGGTTGAAAATCCGTAAGCCCCTTACACCTTTGATCCCAAGAGTTCCTCTAAAACCCACGACCCCTACGCCCTACCTACCGCAATCCCTAAACCCCTGCACCCTAAACTCTATACCCTTACAAACCCTCAGCCTAAACCCCTAAACGCCTACGCCCTAAACTCTCAACCCTTACAAACTCTAAACCCAATTGAACCCTTCTAAGCCCTAAGCCCTGCGATCAATCTAAAAAAAGCCCGCACCTCGCCGGCATAGCCGGGAAAGTCGCCGACTGGCCTGAAAACTTTGGAAGAGTAGCGATTCAAATATCAAGGGTTTAGGGTTTAGGGTTCAGGATTTAGAGTTAGCGTCTAGGGGATTTCGGATTTAGGGCCTTAAACTTACAACTCTTCTGCACGGGTTTACAACGGTTTACAAATCTTTTTATGTGCTTCAGAAAGAACAGGGCTTTGCTGCTCAAAGGTCTCCAGGATTTAGGCTGCGGGTGTGGCTTTAGGGTTTAGGGTTTAGGGTTTAGGTTTTAGGGTTTAGGGTATAGGGTTTTGGGTCATTCTTAACCCAAGCCCTAAGCCTTAGACTGATCCTCCAGGAGGGGCGTCCAGGGTTTAGGGTTTGCCCGTTGTGCCAGGGAGTTTGCAAAAACTAAGGGACCGGAATATGGAATCCTGAGAAATACTAGCCCCGACAAGAAGCCTAAAAAGCCTCCCGCAAACCGCGCTGTCGAATGGAAACACGACGAATCCCTTCCAAGCTTTTCTGTGCGCTGTGTTGCTTGGGACCTCTGTCATGGGACCTTTTTTGTATCAAGATACGGGTTTCTGCAACGCTTTATTGGGTTCTACCAAGCTTTATACAGCTCAGGCTGCATAGGGATTTATGTGAGGTTGCAGCTATAGAGCCTTGGGGATTGATCTCAAAAGGCTGCAACCCCAGCTCTGGGTTTAGCGCTTAAGATTTTAGCTGAGGTATAAGGTCTGTTTAAAGTTTAGAACTCAAGGTATAGGGTTTAAGGTTTAGAGTTTAGGTTTTAGGACCCACTATCTTCAAGCTATAAAGGGTTCATATCTTAGGGATAGTTTCAGGGTTTGGTATGGTACTTCAGCCTAACTACAGGGTGAAGGACGTGGGAGGCCCGCACGGTGCTAAATCCTGAGCGTAGGGTTTAGGGTGTAACTGTAGGGTGCAATTGTCTTGAGATCGGAATAATTAATGTAGGGGCCTTTATAATTAGAGTGGGGTTTTGGTGTATAGTATACTATAATTATAATAAGGAACCCCCAAAACAGTATACAGAGGGGTAAGTAATTATTCATGCCCCTATATTATCCAGGCATGGCTGAACTCTAAACCCAGGACGAGCCTCGATGCTTATATGTCTTAAACATCATGAAACGCCTCAAAAAGCGCATAAACCCGCTGTCATGCACTGTACTTGCCTTCAAGCACCCACAAACCCTACACCCTAAACCCGAAATGCACCCTGAACTCTCCACAATCGAGCCCCGAACCAGAAACCATCAACCCTTACCCCCAACCTCTGAATCTACACCCCACGTCCTAAAGTCAACAGAAGAACAATGAAAGCCCCCACAACTCCCGGCTAGTTGCGCGAACGGGATTGGCGTGAAGGGAGCCGAATAGTTTGGCTCCTTTTTGCGGGTGTCAATGGAGGTTCTCTAAATATGTATATTGTACTTTCTACGGTATACGGTGCTATAGCATTCT